CCCCCTCCCCACCCCCGAGACTGTCCACACCAAGGACAGACATTGCAGCATAAGATGAATATCAGATGAGTCTTTCAATCTCCTCTGTCTCTCTGCTGCTTCTCCCTCGGGGAGTCCCTAGCCTTGAGTCCCACACTCCCAGCTCTCCCTTCACGCACCATGAAGAAAAGATCCAGAACATGCGGTGCGCATCGTTAATCCTCCAGCTCCCCTATGCCACCGCCACTTCTGAGCGGCATGTATACTGTCATCCTTTCAGCCCCGACATTTGACAATGCCATCTGAAAGAAACCTTGTATCTCCAATGTGACACTCCCTCATGAAATGAGAAAATATTGCTGTTGAAATATTGTCTGTGACATTTTTGACTTATGAAGAGGGTTAACAAAAGCAGCAGCTTTATGAACCAGTGTCCCTCTTTTCCCATAGAAATACACATTCACTTTTTGTCTGGTGTAGAACTCTTACATTTGTTGCATTTTGGTAGTAAAAAGCACCTCTGGAATACATATGATACTTTTTTTACAAGTTATGGCAAGCAAATAATATATTTAACGATAATTATTATTTAAATGTAACGTATGGAATAATAATTGAGCAAAATTAAGTGCCAGGATAAATGTAGTGGTAGTAGCTTGTGCTGTGTTTTCCAACCTGCTCACTTAAATTGCTTCATGCTTCTGTGGCGTCCCTCTGCACGATCTAAATGGGATTCAAAACAAACAAAGCTACAAAAAAGCACTTGGTTTGTTGTTTTTCAAGAGCAAACAGAGTAGTTCAGGTTTGGCAGTGAGCCAATGACTGTAAAACTTCTGTTTCAAAAATGATCAGATTTTATTGACATCTTTAGTGTCGTCCTTTGGTGGAGAATAGTAACTGACCACAGAAGTCAATTAAAGCTAATACGTAGGCCTTTTTAAAGGTCAGACCCCCAAATCACATCCACTTGGTTTGGCTTTGCTTGTCTTTCTAACAAATTGCGATCCGTTGGTCAACAATGCATTGATCCTTTTACCACAAGCACAAGTTAAAGACGAAAAACAGAGACAAAGAGAAGAGACAAGTGTAGAAGAAAAATCTACTCAGATGTAACAATCAATCAACAATATGACAAAACAATCTCAGAAATCTATAACACCTTGTAAGAGGTAAGACACCACTGAATGTAAACTTGATTAACTATAAGAATGGCTGAGTGCGCAAAAAGTGCAGACAGAAGAGACTACCATTCGTCAGCATTCTCACTCATTACCTGCATAATTACCAGCTGTCTTAGTTAATCAAACATTCGTTTCAGATTGCGAGTTAAAAACATTTTTTATTCTGCCTTTCAAAAAGGCAAACGAATCTGGCCCTGGGTGCATTTTTAAAGCAGGTATAACTTTTAAAAATTTGAATTCCCATGAAAATGAAAATGCTAAGTGCAATCATTTATATTTACTTTTAATTTACAAGATCAAAAACTTGACTTCCACTAGATGTTTTTTTCCTCTTGTGTTTAGTAATGGCAGTTTGAGAGCAGATGATGTGGACAAACCATTGGCCAAACACCATGTAGTCAGAGATGTGTGTCGGCTCAACGTGTCATTTCTCGGAGCTGTCAAGAGAACGTGACTTATGACAGAGACAGCCAACCTGCCTCTGTGACCCAGAGGTCACAGAGCATTGCTCTGGCTTTCAAATGAGCTGTGTAGGAGGACAGCGCTCATCCTACACACCAGCACCCCCATCTCTCACTTCAGTTCTGTTCTTTTTTTCTATCTTTCTTTCTTTCTGTCTTTGAGCGCTTCCCTTTTGTAGCATCTTCAAAGACATATCACCACTTCAGGTTTCACCCAAAGAGTGGGCGAACTCATGCAATTTAGCATAAGTGGGTTTCTCAGCATTGTGGCTCAGAATACAATCACCACAATTTAAGCACCCTTAACCTTTGCTTGTGAGCTCATGGCCTTCTTCTCTAAGTGGCTCCATGCTGTAATTTGCCTTGTGCATTGGTGTGCCACTGATGTGGCTCTCGGCAGAACATGAACCGCTGCTAGGTGATCTTTTCACTTTGCTATTTTTGCACAAGACCATTCATTGACAGAGGTGAGAAGAAAGCAAAGATACTGAGAGTAAGACAAGGCTAAATGTGTTTTTTTTCCCCTATCACACCTATTAACAGTACTAAGGCAAATCCCCCTTGGATGACCATGTACCAGTGTTAGTATCTTCCATACATTAGGCTACTATGTGACACTCTGAGCATTAATCTTTCCATCAGTTGTGCTCTTTTGTGGAAACAAGATGAAGGCTTTAAATGTGTTTATTTTTTCAAGCAGTTTTTTCTTGTCAACAAATCCCATGAAAAGACTAAAACTATTACTATTGTTAATCTTTCCATACTCCCAACCCATTTTGCTTCAGCCTCAAGCCCATTCATTCCTACTCAAGATGTAGTGTATATCCTTTTAAACAGATCACAAATATGGTGTTTGGTTTTTAAAAGAGGCTCAGTATTTCCCAGAACAGCTGGGCACTACAGCTTTTATCAAATGTTACTCAAAGAGCATTAAAGAGCAGACGTGAGGACTATTTTCAGTTGGGGAGCATTTGGTTCACCAGTAAGTATTAAATGCATCTGGACAGTGTGTGTGGGATAACTAAAATGCGACTACATTGCCAGTGTTCATTGTAAAGGCAGAATATGACACCCAGGGCGACGATGTGGCTCACTGATGTGTTTTTTAGTAGTTTTTGGACAACAGTGGAGGTCTATTACACTGATTAATAAGGTAAATATCAGGCAATGCAGACAATGCTCGTTAGTAGAATCAATTCATTGTTGGTTTTGGTCTTTTCATTGGATTTATTTTCAATAAAAACAAGTATGGACTATCATTAGACTTTCTCTTTAACTCCAAAACAATATCTTTACAGCTGAGCACAAAGAAGGATCCAAGATGCTTCATTATCGCCATCATCCATCTTAGCCCCTCAACCCATTCAAAAATGTAACTTATATAATTAAGTCTCGATAGGTTAAGACGAAGTCCAACACATTCTCACTCCGACCTCGTCACATATCGATGTTTGGTCATGGACTTTCCACGTCCCCATACGACGTAAAAGGTCCTTTGGGTACCTTGGTTGTTGACGTTCTGGTACACCGTGTCAAGGTCGCGTGCATTGTCTTCTTTCAAAATACACTAATGTTTTCACAAGATTTTTACTGTTTAGACACTGTCTCTCCAAAATAAATGCACTACGTCAGTGCAGCACTGCAAATTGATATTGTTTTCCCCCAACAACTAATGCATGTGGTTGGGTTTAGGCAACAAAAGCACGTGGTTGGGTTTAGAGAAAAAAACAACAGGTTTTGGCTTTATAATCTTGCGGGACGCAAACACCGTTCTCCTGGGTGAAGATCGGTGTTTGTTGGACCCATCCACCACCCCTCCCATTCACTGTACTCAGACTTTCGCTGCCTTAACTTTCATTCTTGTCCCACTGTGCTCCCCCTGGCGCTGCCAATTGCCAATAAACTATAACGGCGACTGGCTGTGTATCATACCGGCGTTAAAGGACGCTGCAGGTCACTACCCAAGTGCTGAATTTCGATGACTTTGGAGTGAGACCGAAATTCATTAAGATTAAATGTGAAAATCAAAAAACCTAATGACATATTCAGAAAACAGGCTACAGACACACTACAGCCCCTTTTACACTGCCAGATTTTCCGCGAATGTTGGGCTGTTTTGCCGGCAAACTGCAAGCGTTTAGACACACAGAGCTGGATTGGCAAGTTGATCCAAGGTGCCCAATTTTCCGCCTCGTAGGGTAGTCATATTGGCGGAACACTTTTAGTTTAAAAAGACCAAGGGGGCCGGCGGCGGGGGGGGGGGGGGGGCTGTTGATGACTTGTGGGAGGAGCTGTTGATGACGCTGCACGTGCGAACCACTGGCAGTGGATAAACAGAAAACAGCTGATAGCAGGAATTAGCAAGCAGCTAGTAGCATGAGGGAAACACAAACCTGACAGACACTGTAAAGATGAGCAACTGGGGAGACAAGGAATTGTGCGCCCTCCTTGGCCTCGCAAACGAAGAGGCCATTAACCATCAGATGACGGGGACGGTGAAGAACGGGCTGACTTATGAAAGAATCACCGTAGGACTGACCAGCCGCAACTTCCCTCCCACATCACTGTTTACGTCACACGCTGAGCTACACATTTTGTTACTCACTCACGCCCCCCATTGCCCCGAAAAAGGCGCAAACAAAAGTAGGCAGGCGGCATTTTGCCACACTCCCCGATTTTGTTTTTATACTGCCAATGCTGAAAAAAGACTGATTGGGCTTTGCTGCAAATTTGTACAATTCCTGTTTAAAAAGGGCTTACATTTCACTTCCCTCTGGGGGCGCAACTGACTCATTTAAAATAAAAAACGACCTTAGGACAACAGAGCGACAGTAACAAGTTGTTTTTTTTATTCCTTACAAATAAATTTTGCAGCTTACTCAATCAGTGCAAACAAGGGTTGCCTCCTTCGTCTGGCTCAAAGCCAAAGTGTTGCCATAGTGGCGCATTCCTTGATTTCGTCGAGACTAAATTGTCCACCATTATCGACTCCCCGTCACTATTAAACAAACTCCAGGCTACAGTAGAGGCTCATGTGCACTCGCACCTCCTAGCTCAGTCCCCGCCCCACCCCCCTCTCTCTCCCCTGCTTGCTGTGCGCTTGGTGAAGAGGCAGACACAGGTGCTCACAGACTCGGGCGTACTATAAGCGGAGCGGACTACGTGTAAAAATGTCCGTGAAAAATCCCTGTGATGTGAAAAATACATGCCGAACAGTCTTTTGTGTGACACTGGAGCGCGGAGCGGAGTCTGCACGGTTGTGCTTTGCGCGCACAGGGCTTGTGGACGTCCACTTTTACCGGGCGGAACTCCGCGGCGTCCGCTACACGTACGTTCTGCTCGAGTATGCGGTCTGGTCTGTCTCAAAAAATAAAACCCGGTCACCCGACCATCAGTCATACATGTTCTGTACCTGGTCGGTCAAGGAACTCAAACTGGCAATTTTTGCTCATAGTCTCCTTTTGGGTTATCTTTTACTGAGCAGAGAAAAAATAAGTTATAAAAGTTTTATGGAAATGGAAATGTAACTCTTAACTCTAAATATTTACACTTGTAAGTTTTCCAAATGCACATGGTGTCCGCAGAGAATCTATACCTACCTTGCACATGCATAGCATATGTGTGCTGTTAGCCCAGTATTAAATTAGCACAGACAGGTATGCAGCAGGCGGTAGCTTGTTACATTCATTAGGAAACACCCACATCCCCAAAAGAGCACTATGATGGAGCTGTGAGGGGCCTCAGCACGGCAGGTTTTGTCATTAAGACGATTAGTGCCGACACAATGCTAACGATTCTATAGCGCTGATGCCTCTGGGCTAAGAGGATCTTGGCATCCTGAACTATACACCATGAGGTCAGTGATAGTGGTGCAATAAACAACATGGACAAATAACAAAACTGATGTTAGCTTTTACAAACATTTTCATGCAATCAGTTTTTTTTGTTTGTTTTGCATTGTTTTCCATTTTGGAATATTTTAACAATGTTGATTTTTTTATTCTTGTCCCCCAACCTGTTTGGAAATAACTAATGTGCTCTTGCATGAGAAGAATAGTGTGAGGCTGTGTATCAAATTCAACTCATGTCCATTTGCATGAGCCCTGGTGTGTAGTTCCTCCCAATTACCTGTTTTTTTCCCCCTCATTTCTTCATCAAACACTCTTAATAAGCATTTGCTCAGACTCTGCCGCTGCTCAGCTGGGATTGGCATAACAAACAAAATGATGTCCGCGGATTGATAAAGGTGCTGCTGAAGGTTATTGCTCTCTTGTCAACAAGGCATGAGCGGCCTTCTTCCCTGCAGCTCCTCTTACCTCCTTCCACCATCCCTCCCTTTCTGGATAAACAAAGTTATGCATCCCATGGGGAGAAACACACACTTTAATATAATGGAGTCGAAAACTGTTCATTGATTGGAGAATGCATCACGCTGCCCATCACACCCACATGGTTTTTCTCACCGTCCACCACCACCTCCTCCTTCGTCAAAAAGCCAATACAGCAGCAGTTTGTGTTTTTCTTTGTCGTTATAGTTACCTGGACTTCCCTTGCCTCCCCCATCTTCCTCCTCACCTCTACCCCTTTTCCCTCTGTGCCTTCTTCCATGGTCTCATAGCGTCATCCAACCATTTTGTTTGTCCTCTGGTGTTGGCTTGGGGATTGTACCCCCCTACCGTTTCTCTACTAAATATTTCAGATATCTGAATCCATTATTGAAAATCCTAAATGAGCCACGGCCATCCTCTCAGCTATTCATTTAATCTTCTAAATGATTCAACAGCAGCGAGGCAGATAAAGGGAATGCAAAAAAATAATTGATATATCAAACTTTACACTTGTCATAGCTGGCACCAAACTCCTCTGTGGAGTTGCTGTGCCTATAACGTTTTTCTGGCTTAGAAGGGCTTGGCTGCTTTCAGATGAGACTCAGGTGGTGTGGTTACTGTGGTCCTGGAATGTTGCTAATTCCAGTGAGATGCCAACTCTCCCTACTCATTTTATTCTTGTCACTGTGTGAAATGGAGGATTTGATAGACAGCTGATATTAGTCTGTCAGTACTGGTGACTCATTACAGTATAACCCATGTGCCTGTGTGTGTGTGTGTCCATTTAGGCTTTCTGAACATCCAGTCCTGGCCTGACAACATGACAGATCTGAGTGTGTTCTCCAACCTGGTAACTATTGGGGGAAGAGCGCTGTACAGGTACACACCTGAGAACACAATAGCTTTGCTGTTATTAGATTTTTTTACACTGTGATTGGAATTTATATTATAGCTGTGTCACTACCTGTAAAAGAGCTCAGTGCAATGGAAGGAAAGGCAAGCTGATGATAAATATTATGGGTTTAGTTTTATTTTGTAGTGGGAAAAAAAGCAAAACATCAGTTTTCTCTGAAACAAGAGCTCTTTGGGAATGAAAAAGAGTTAATTCAGTGGTGTTTGGATTTGTCAAATGTATTTAACTTTTCCTAAATTGATGACAATGTAATTAGAATTGTTCTTTCAAATGTTATCCCATAGTAAAACAGGTATGCTTTTTAAAATTGGAATCTCTTTTTTTGAGAGAGACCTATGTACAAAAACAACATACACAGTGCAAATATAGACAGATGCACAATATACACATTGACTCTTAAGAAAAGCAATTACAAAAGTGAGTGGAAGTAAATAGGTACAACCTTTTTAAAATGTGCAAATTGATTTAGAGAATCTAACTTTTTGGAGGGCATTTGATTTGTATGCAGCGTAGTATCTGAAACCATGTTTTCCAAGTTCAGTGTGAACATGAGGTACAGCTAATGTCAAGACATTGGATGTAGTATGTTTAAATTCTGAAATGTGCCTTTTAAACAAATACTGTTTACCTTCTGCACCAATCTGTATTGTGTATATCCTTCCAATTCAGTTGCAGGAATAAATGTTGGCATTATGCGTTTTTGCAAATGTAACATTTGTATGTTAAAGTGGATGTGTTGAAACTTTCTGTAAGTTTCAACAGTGCTGTGGTTAGGGTTAGGTATTAAAACCAGGTTGGTTATGGTTAGGAAAAGACAGTGGTTTGGCTTAAAGTACCCCATTTTGGTGGCACAATCACAGCAGGAAATGCAGTGATGTCTTGCTAAAAACAACATTTCTTGGTCTCAAACAATGGTCAAATCTCTTGGACCGTGTTCATCCACTAATTTTAATTAATTAATTTTGAATGTGACTGATGAGTGCCTCTGACTCATAGCTAAAATAATGCTTTTTTTTTGTCCATGGTAGCAAATTGGCTAGCCAGTGACAAGAAAGAGCTGTTGATATTATGGCTTGTCTATCTTGAGTAGCCTACTTGTACTTCTAATCAAAGATACATGTAGTCTCATGTACAGCAGAATCATAGATACAGGTACGAAGGGATGAGCGCCAACTAAATAACCAAATTTACAGTCATGATTAGGATTTCTTAAAACAAGATAGGAGGTCTGAGATAGGATAAGACACAACTATGAGTTTAGGATTTGCTTTTGTAATAGGTAGATAGGATTTTTCCTGTCTTTTGAAATCAGGCTAATTAATTAGGATATTTTTCTGTAATGACGCCCCATTTTTAAAAAAAATTTGATTGTACAGTACCAACATGCTACTATAGGGTAGGGGTGTAACGATACATCGATCCACATCGATACATCGATTCATTGATTAACGATCCGATTACATCGATGCAAAATGAAAACATTGATCCATATCGTCATCTTAAAGATACACATTTATTTTGAAATTCACATAGCACGTCTGTGTCACCATTTCTGGGTAAGCGCGCCCCTGCTCAAACAACAAACAGAGCTCAGAAATAAAATGGTCAAATCATATTCTAGTTGTTTTTGTGAGTTGATGTAAATGATTGTGTGATTGTGGGCATATGATATTGCGTCATATCGATCGCAGGCTCCTAAATCGATTCAAATCAAAATCGTATCGTGACAGACTTTGTGATATCGGCAAACATCGTATCGTCATCCAAACAAATTGATATAATATCGTATCGTGATGAAGCTGGTGATTTACACCCCCACTATAGGGTATAGTGCAGAGGGTGTGGCATGTATGGAGATAGATTTGTTTCATAATTATGTGTGTGAACAGATCAACAATCTGTGTGTAAATGTATAATCTGTAAATATAAAACACCTTCCACAAATACAAAAAAAGAGGCAAGACAAATGCCTATTCCAAAGTTGTAAATGTTAGGAAGATATTCACAAATGCTTTTCATATATTTGCAAATTAATTTAATGTATTCACAGATATTTTTTTTATTTGTGGAATTTGTGTATTTGCAGATCGGTTTTATACTTGCAAAATATTTTTGTGAGTTTACAAATCTTTTTTGTATTTGTGGAAGGTGTTTTATATTTACAGATTACACATTTACACACAGATTGTCGATCTGTTCACACACACAATTATGAAACAAATCTATCTCCATGGACATGCTGTGAAAATTCCAGTGTTAAACACTATACTCAAAACAAGAAAGAAGATTGAGGAGAGTGGTGTCCTCCCAAGTTCCTTAAATAAGAGTGTCTAGCAGCAATATGTAGGTAGCTTGGTTTATTTAAATCATTTGAATGCAAATTAAAAGCAAATGTGCTTTGGTTATGTTTCTGCGGTCAGTAGGTAAGTAAGTCAGTAAGAAACATAGCCCGAAAACCCTTTTTGTGATGCTTTTGTTTTGACATTTAAGAAGCCAACTTAGTTGTTTTAACCCAGCTGATAGAACATAATTATTTATCATTTCACTTTCAGTGATTTTCCCAAAGGTGCTCTAAAATTTGTTGTGACATTTGGATAGAAGCATAGTGAGTGTCTGCGCGGCTGATGGCGTAGTGCGGACTGTGGGATGTGGTGCTTCTTTGTGTGTGTGTGCGTGTGTATGAATGTGCGCATGAAGATGTGTGTGCGTGCACTTGTGTGTCATCCACCTGCAAATGGAAACAGCAGGCTGCAGTACAAATTACAGCCTGCCACCCACCCTTATCCCATGCTTGATCCTGCATACTCTCTGTCTACCTGATGGCTCTGACACCCCACTCCTGTCATTTTTAAATGGTGCAAGCAGGGCACATGAGGAAGGGTGGGGGCATAGAAGAATAAAAGAAAGAAAGAGAGGCTTGAAGGAGGAATGATAAAAAAAAAAATAAAAATCTGTTGAAGACGTGTTGTTGCGGCAGTGTAGCAAAATGTGTCAACAAAGACAAGAATATAAAATCTGAATTAAGCACACGCTGTGTATTGACTTAAGTCTAACAACACTAGAGTATAAAACCTTCTATATAGAACATTTTTAATAATAGACACACTTTGTGACACTGTGGTATAATAATTATACACAAACAAGACCATGCTGGAGATAACTTGTAGTCTTTATCTTACAAGTGAAATGTTGCTCCTTGTTTACACACTAAAATCAAAGTGTCTTTTCTCTGTAGATTTACTTTTACATACTAAAAATGTGTTGTCCACTTAACAGTTGTGCCCTTTTGAATGTTCTGTTTGAATTTAGTGCGACTAAATATTTCCATCCAAATCTCACTCAGTGACTCACAGTGTAAAGTGCATCACAAAGGCAGATTATTTAGATCAGCTGTAGATCATACTAAGGTAGACGCTATGTGAAAACATGTACTTTAAATTATCCTCCTGAGACCCCAGCTTCTGTTTGGTATGCATTTTAAATGTCTCTGAGCAATTTTGGAAAGTAGAACCTGTTAAGATTAAAAGACTTGGCAATGTCTTTGAAAAGTTACACCTTATTACAGCCCCAGTGTCCTCAAACAAGGCGATAATTTAGTCCTACTGTCTTCAAATGAGCACTTCCAAGCTTGTTACTGTTGCCTCAATTGGTCAGATTTGTTGCCATATCAAATTGCAGACATTATTTTGTCTTAAGTTTAAGTTTCAACCATAAGATTTGATGAGGTTTTGTACCTTGTCCACTTTTGTGTCGGGATTGGCTCTAGACTGAGCATAAAAGTGTCCACAAATGAGGACAACAGGTCTAAGCTAAGCAGAATGAAGCATAAGGAGCAGGAAACCATAATGCGATGTCCTCATGTGATGATGCAGGGTCTCAGGAGGTTAAACCTAATTATTTTGATCTGACTTTATATGAAAAGTGTGAAAATATATGACAGATTTCAGCTGAATTCAGGAGTGAATTGCCATATACACTTTAAGAAGAGGGAAAACAATGCCATTCTGTCTATATGTGTTTTGTTTTTTAACTGGGCATATGCTTTCTATTTATGTATCATTTACAATTCAAAGGAGTATATTCTAGAACTTAATTACGCCACCTGACCAAGCTGCTGTCAAATGCAAGTTGTGCTTTTCAAGTGCAAAGTACCGAACAACATAAACAAAAAAGCTCCATGTGCCATATGTCTGTTGCTAAAGTACTGTGTTGCACTAATCCTGTCCCTTATGAATTGCAGTACATTCTTCTGCAGCTACTCTTGTTTTAAATTTAGTTGAAAAGTTGACTGCTTATCAAGACTTGTCAAGTTTGAGTGTCAGATGCATGTGTAAGGATCTGATACTAGTTGTAAGTATTGATGTTTTTATTTTGTAACCATGAACACAATGTCTGCTCAACCTTTACAACATGGTTTAAGTTTTAGGTCTGTTTGAGAATAGTTTATTTCACTGAGCATGACATTTTCCTTAAAATGAAAGTCTGCATATGAACATTATCTTCTTTTCTTTCCATTTTTTCCCCTGTCCCTCTTCTTGTCACTTCCACTCTCCCTATCTGACCCTCTCCTCATCTCACCTCCACCCATTCTTCCCTCTCAGCGGGATCTCCCTGCTGGTGTTAAAGCAGCAGGGCATCTCATCACTGCAACTCCAGTCCCTGAAAGAGATCAGCGCTGGGAATGTCCACATCGCAGAGAACAGCCAGCTTTGCTACTACAACACCGTCAACTGGACAAGATTGTTCCGTGCTGCAAACCAGAAGGTTCTGGTCCGTAACAACCAAAGCCCACAGAAGTGCAGTAAGTTCATACTGAAACCATCACAAACATCAAAAAGTACCTGTACCAAAGCAAAAGTGGAGGTCAATCAAAATAATTTGCTGTGCTTCGCCATGGCACAGGAGACTATGGCTGCCTCAACTAAGAATATTCCTAGTCAGCCAATAGTCATCATTTAGGGCCATCAGTCGATTAGTTACCCACACGTTTGCAATATTAATTCAAATATTAAATAATATATTTTGGGCGGGGCAACACAATGGTTTGAGTTGAAGGTGTGAGAAAGAATAGTATCAGTAACATTGTTAACACTGTGTTACATTACAGAGAGGTACAAAACCGTACTAATGAACCTTCATTAATATAGGCCTATATTTTATCTACGTGCATGTCACACACTGAGCGAGCCGCCTGTTAATGACACTGTCGGCAAAGCCGTACTGATTGTGCTAAGTGGCTAATGGGCATGTAACTACTGACATGTTTCAGATGAAACGTCATGTGTCTAGTCAACCAATGAAGATGAGTTTACATATCACCTTGGGTTCGTCCTTCACCTTCTCAAAATGATCCCACACTTTGGATTTCCTGCCCGACATGTTATTAACTAGCCTGTGGAATAACCGCAGGTACCAGCCCTGGAAATTAGGGGCCGTCCACATGCTGAGTCTTTGACTGTCTAGAGAACGCAAGGTCGGGCACTGGGCGCCACTCTTGTGCCTTTTTTGTGCCAGCTTTCAAAAGCGAGATGGCAGCTTACATCTGAGGTTGCTAAGCAACTTTAACAAGCATCTATAGCCTATTTACCTGAAATCCTGAGTGCAGAGCTAATCTTCTTCCAGGCGCTGTTTATAAGTGTGTAGGTCTATCGTCCATGCGACAGATGTAAAGCTCTGGGTAGCCCTGCACTAACATGATCAACTTTTCCGCATTTATCAGACTGAATATTTACAGAAGAAGGGAACGATATCTGTCGGCTGTGATTGGTTTGTAACGTGACTCCTGTCTGACTACTGAGCATGGCTACTTCCTGTGTCTGTCCTAGTGTTGTCACAATACCAAAATCTTTGTTTCGGTACCAATACCAATATGAATTTTGATACTTTTCAATACTCTTTGGTACTTTTCCTAGGGAAAAGTCCTTTTGGATACAAACCTTTAGAACAATAAATAGTAGGGGTGTAACGGTACCAAAAAAATCATGGTTCGGTAAGTACCTCGGTACGGACGTCACGGTTTGGTAACTCAAATGTTCCACCAAGTTTGTGTTGTCTCATGTTGTCTCCCTTTGCGATTCAGATTTTCTCTTGCCTTTTTTCACGTGCGCCAGCTGCGGATGTTGATACACGTGTTGTCATACACACCACTTGTGCAATCTGTGCGCCAATAGGAACAAGAAAGGCGTTTGTGTGCATAAATGAGTAAAATAAATTAACTAAATTAATGAATTGAATCAATTTCAACGCACTGGTATTTTCCAAATGCAGTATAGTACCGTTTGGAATACTCTAGTACCGCAGTACTATTTTAGTACCGGTATACCGTGCAACACTAGTCTGTCCTTTCAAATTATATTCCCACATGGTCCAGTCATATAGGTTTTGATTTATTTTGACAATGCACAGCTCCTAAGAGAGTTTCTGGTTTGTTTGTTCTTTGTTTTTTTGCAACTAAGTGACCAATGAAATCTTGCTAACTAATGACCTTTCTGGCCGACTAAGGTTTGGTCGACTATTAGGGGGCAGCCCTAGACACGTAGCGTTTAATGCAAAATCACCAGTTTTATTCCACACTGTTTAACAGAGAAAGAAGGAGGCATATAAGCAACATGCAAAGCATCTGGTGTTACCAAAAACATAAAATGGCAGTTCTCATAGTTTATTTCAACCCAGAGTGAAGCCTTAATTTAATCATGCAAACTGTTTATCATGTCCCATGTGCACAAAGCTGTAACTGTAAAATACATGTAGATAACAAAAACAGGATCATTTCCAATCGCAATACATTTATGAAAAAAACGTACCTGTTGTTGAGCTCCAAAGAAATCCCAAAAAGAACAGATTTCAAAGAATGGAGTAACTGTGCCGTGTCTTAAAATTAATCTTGTCTACCAGCCCGGTTTGTTTTGCATCTAGTTCTGGCTGAAATGTGTGCTGAGGCTCTCAAAAATTGTTTGCCACTATCCTATTTCTGTCTCTTGGAATCTTAAACCCAGTGACCAAACATGTAAAATACGTTAATACAATGAAAGATAGAAACAAAAATGGGAGCACTTAACAGACATTGCTCACTGTTTTAAACTGTGATGTATTCTTTGTGTTCTCATCCTGCCTTCAACATCAGTTGTGCAGCTACAGGCACCACGAGAGAGTTTTCTTTTTTGTCTCTTGCTCGACAAACGTGTTCACATTTATAAATAGGTTACAGATTGGAAGATTATGGAGAATTATGTTTGAGATTTAATGGTTTGACAGAATTGCCAACCTGACACAAATTTAACTTCAGACAACACTCTGGAGTAATGCTCAAAACCAATTCAGTTATTTGGAGGGAAATGAATATCTGCCATAGCTGCTGAAGCTCTTTGATATACTGTTTTCTGGCTTAGGAATTCAGCTATTTTCATAACTTCACCAAAGGCAGCATCGACACTGAACATATAATAGCAGAAACACCGTTGTCATTCCTATTATTCTCTGTCCATCGTCTGAGTGGAAGCTATTATCTCACTAATTTCTAAAGACAACTAAAAACAATAATCCCATAATTAGACTAATTAACCAACAGAACCATTCAGAGAAGAATAAATTAAATTAGGCAAACATCTGAAGTGATGAGACAAAAATTGTGTCTCTAAAAATGGAAGAGCTTTTATTATATCATTGCCACAAGTGTTAAGACATTATTCATTTATGTATAATGTTCATTAATGAGCCAGTATTTGCATTATTGAGTTGGCCCCTTTTCGCTGTTCATGTGCTCCTTTCCCCTGGGCAGTTCCTTAGTGTTGGGCGCACACACACACACACACACACACACACATACATACACACACACACACACACATACACTCTCTCTCTCTCTTCAGTGACTTTGAAGACTTGGGTGAGACTCAAGAGTCACACACTGCTCTCCTTGACATGGCTCTGCATGTGTGCATCACAGTGTGTATGTGTGGGTTTGTGTGTACGTGTGTGTCTACACTTGACTGAGCCTAGCAGGGACTGGAAAAGGGCAGGTCTCACACCCTTACAGGGCAGCGAAGACAGGGGAGAAAGGTTCTGCATGTGCCCATTTATTCACTGTGAGTAGTTGTAATGATGTAGTAACGTCATTAGGTTATTAAAGAAACCTAAAACCACAGCATCCAGTTTTTACATCACATTTTCACAATTCTGCAAGTAGAAGTACTTACTGCGATAGAGCTGGCTGGCATAATTAAGAATATAATCATGTTTTTTGTCAAATCATACATGAAGGACTACTTCATCTCCAAATGATCATTTGTATATCAGTTACCCACTCCATGTTACGTTAAATCTGTGAAGAAAACCTTGATTTTCTTGCATGCCTCCAGTGAGCCAAGAATCCAGACATGAAAAAAAATTCTTGATTCTTGATTCTTGAGAGGTCTGCAGTCTGTGTTTGAAGGATATATCCAGGATGTCAAACTGACTCAGTAGCAACAACAGGTTAAAAAGACAAAGATAGAAGCTAAAGCCGAACTATAGGCTACAGATCACAGTGTAAAAGTGAACCACCACATCACTGCTGATCGCCACACAAGACAATGAATATAAAGAGAAGCTTTGCTGATATTGAACCAGCTGTGTGGCATCGCAGTGTGTGCAGATGAATGGTGTCTGGCTTCGCAGGGATCTCGGAGTAAGTCAAACAACGGTCATCTGCACACACTGTAATGACACACAGCTGGTTGAATATCAGCAAAGTTTCCCTGCTTCCCTTCACTGGTTCCTGTACAGCAGGGTCGGTCTTTGTTTCACTGTTATAATCATTAAAAAGCAAAAGCAGCATGTGTATACATTCAGTAGGCTATATCTTCAGTAGCTAGCTAGCTAACCCTACACTTTCCAGGGTCTTGTTTTGGTTTTGGAACAGGGAAGAAACATATATCTTTTTCCAACCTCTCCAGGTAACAAGTATCATTAACACACGACGTGTCCCAGGCACAATATTTAGCGCCAAAACCACAAAACCAGCCTGAAAATGAAGGAAATCTGAAATGATTGCATTAGAGTCAATGGAGCACAGCTGTGTTGTTCTGAGCCGGCCCCATGCAACGTTATGTTTGGCCAGACTGCGTCCGGGGGCGGGACTTAGCTAAGGGTTGTCTGTTTGGGATATACTTAGCATACGACTGGATATATGAGACTTGGATTATTCTTCATGAGTTGTGTGAGAGTTTGTAAACAGATGTTTTGATATAGCTTTACCGTTGTTAAACGTGGCTGCCTATGACTTCAATTCATCAAGGATTTTCTCAGTTTTTGGATTGTTCCTTCTTTGTGGAGGCATGCATGAAAAATATTTTCTTTATGACTTCAGCGTAACACATGGTGAGTAATTGTTATACAAAGGGACATTTGCGGGGTGAAGTATTCCTTTAAGATTACAAAACTGTTCACTTGGTCTTTTTTCATAACCTCATTCATCGAGGTAGCAAAAGATTAAGTCAAATTATCCATTGGATTGATGTTGTAGGGTGTGGAGACATTTCAGCACTTTCCCAAGAAGTTCTATCAGTTGAAAGTTATTTATATTTGTTGTCAAACAAATTTAATTTCTGCTCACAGATTAAGACCAAAAAAAGAAAAAAAGTTTGGCTGTACATTTATAAACTGGAGTTGAGTGCTTTTGCGGTTTGCCGTGGATCTGATTGCAAATGATGTTCTGTCTTGACAGAACTGTGTGCGCTCCTCAAGTCTGCCTGTTTTTTTTTTTTGCCTGCTTTGGATGATGATTACTCAGTTTTTAAAAATCTCTTCACTGTGCATTAAGCTGCTCAATTTCTCGAGCTATAATTTGACAGTCAGAACTCAATTGAAGTCTGGTCGTGAGCAGTATTATTGACTAACTCTTTTAAGTTTTGACTGAAAACATGCTTCAGAGAAATGTTGTCAAGCTTAAAGCATTATCAGTGGTAACAATAGCGCATAAGTGATCCTATCAAGTCAATATCTGGTTTTACTTAACAGTGGTTTGCAAACAAGACAGCCAGACATGCCTAAATTAAGCTGCCTGTAGAAAAGAAGGATCTACTCACTTTGGTCCAAAGCTAGTATTAAATGTTAAGACAAGCTTTCAGCTACTAAAACTTAATCAGGGCAAATATTTGACAAAAGAAAATCCCAGAGCTTACGCTAGGGTCCCGAAACGTACTGCTGAATGATGGCTCATTAGCAATAAAATGTCTTGTTTTATAATGACGTCTTTAGAGTGCAGGCCTTGGGGTAATACATGAGAGAGAAAGGTATTTTGTTTTCTTCACATACTTCTTCAAAAGGTCAAATCTTGGGAGAGAAAGTACACTGTTATTAGCCCCATCAATGAACTCAGAATAAACCCAGAAAGGGCTATTTTACCATAGCTTTCTAAGTGATGTTTAAAGGCTGCAAAAACATGGTAAAGCTGCTCTCAGGACTGATCTCAAATGACGTATCCCAAATTACTTAGGACAAATTAAGATTAATTAGGACAAATTACACCTTTATCATTCATCGCATTCTAGCCTTATCAGTCATAATGACCGAAAACACCTATGTCATAAGTTACTCTTGAGGAGATCATTTATAATCCCTACAGCAAAAGAACTTCACATAAACAAGACAGAGTTACAATCAGTGATCACGTTATAAAATATGCTCAAGAAATAAAACATCAAAGTCATCATTAATGTAATTAGTGACACCTGAGCTTTTTCTACCATGGCAAGTCAAAATGTCTGCTTTGAAAAAGGCCTGTTAGAAACAAGCAGGTGCTCTCTATAACCGGCACACGAGTGGGCATAACCTGGAGCAAAATTGTAGTAAAAGATCTGAAAGAAATATTCCAGCTGATGCAAGCAAATTTAGTCCACTTTCACGATAAAAGGTGTGGTCACAAGAGCACATTTTTTGGCCAATCATTGTTAGCCAAGGTGGCTATAGAGATTTTATCGATTGCACCCCTGGATTCAAAGATTCTAGTTTTTAAGGATTTCTATGATTTTATTTAACCATGTTACGAATCCTGTTCTCCTTTTTCTTTTGTCGCCTTGTGAAGATTACTCAAACATGTACAAGTGTTACGTTTTGTAATTTCCTTGTGATATAGTCTCTAAACAAATTACCCCTAACTCCTAACATTACAGTAATGGTGAATGTTGTGGGATAAAGAGACTCAAAACACTGGACGTTTGAGGGTTTATTTGTGAGAAATCCAAAGAATTGGTACATCACTTCTTTCAATTTATAGTGTCAATAAAAGGTTTTTCCTGTCACTTAAGCTACTGTTACTTGTCATTCCAGTCACCAGTTCTGGGAACAATTGCTTCTCCTTACCTACCCAAATTTGGTTAGAGTCATGTCAGGTCATCAACACTACAAAAATGTATGCCAGGTCATTTACACTATAAGTAAAAAAAATGTGTTGTCCTATGTTTCACAGTGACAAGAATAATTTCCTCAGCGGCCAGCCTACACTCTTTAGCCTTTTCAATGGCTGCTCTGCTTTGCTTTCAGTGCAGCGTTTGATATAGAAGAAAAGGATGCAGGAAACTTGAGGCAACAGTTGAGTTAGTCCTTTTAATGCTAACCATCATCATCATAGTGCCCTGACAGGTGTTTGTTTGTTCACCCATGATTTTTATCGTGTTTTGTATTCTTTTCTTCTTTTGATTTCACTGATTTCTCCCAGCTGTCCTCTCTCTCTCTCTCTCTCTCTCTCTCTCTCTCACTCTCTGTCTCTCGTTTTCTCCCCCTGTCATGATTATCATCATAGCATGTTATTCTGTCTCCCATGGGACTCAAAAAGGCACCTCAGCTCAGAACAGCTCAAACCCTATGGGCTTTTGTTTTCCAGCCATGTCAAAAACATCTGAAGTTGGTATCTTTTTGATCTTGCAAGTGCTGTATGGTTAAAAAGCCATCCAACCTCTCCTCTTCCCTTGTTTATTTCCTTTTTTTCTTCCTGCATCCATCATTCCTCCCTCTCCTCATCTTTCCCTCTGCCTGGTCAGTTTACCTACGGCACTGGAAGCCCAACAGAGGTGGTTTTGTCTCTTGTGGAAGGCAGCGCTTTCATCCTCTGCCCTCAAAAGAAACACTTGATTTCTGTTTTCCCCGTGTATCTGCATCCTTCTGTCTGAATTTTTAAGCATTCTGAACATGGCGGTGGCTGACACTGAGGCATAGCCCCTGGCTTACATGTGGCCACGACCTCGAAAACAGCAGGTGTCTTTTTCTAACCATGTTCATAGCTATGGAGAAGAGAAGAGAAGAGAAGAGAAGAGAAGAGAAGAGAAGAGAGTTTTAAATTCCACCGACAAGGGGGGAAATCATGTTAGACGCAGATGGGATGATAAAAGTTCCGAGTGTATCTGCAGTGTTGTCACCACGTTACTTCAGCACTCTCATTTTGTCACTGTAATGCTCTCAGATGTAGCAACCTTTGTAGAAACGAGTGCTGAAGGGGAGCAAAAGAGAGAGAGAGATAAGAGATCCAGATTAAGAAGAGAATGGAAAAGAGTGGATGTAATGGCCTAGAGTCTACAATATGAGAAACAGCGAGGCAGAAACAGAACAGCATACAGATTGTTCACTATGTATGAGCACTTTTAATGCTTGTCTCTTTGTAAATCAAAGGTGGCTTTGATAATGGCTTTACATGACTATCCAAACAGCCCAAAAATTACTTGTTTGCACTGTCTATGTGCAGCTATGGATTTGTGTGCTGAAAGCAGTTTTTGGATTTAAGCCAACAGAAAATCTTTAGTTGGTAATATTCAACATCTATATATGTGAGCCTTTTAACAAGAGCTGAAAGGCTGTGTTTTGACCATAGATATAGAATGAGTGTAGAATGGATATACCCATTCAAAGCACAAAAGCGGGATAGTTGGAGCAGCGGCCATTTTCATGTCAACGGTTGCCTTTGCAGAGAACTGCAATCATTTCAGCAGGCTTACTTTCATATAAATGGACTTGCGACAAGATGCAAACTCACTAAGATGAGGTTTTCACCAGCTGGTGTACCTCTACAGATCGCTGCAGCCTTTGAGCGAATACCTTAATAAATACATTTACTCACTTAACAAAGGTATTAAGTGAGTAAATGTAGTTATAATTGGTTATAGTACGCTATAGCTGTTCATCTCAGTTTTAACCCGTGTCCACTGGACACTTTATGAGCCCTTAAAGCTAATCTACAACAGTTTGTAATGTTTAAAGGATTAAATTAACTAAAAAAAAGTCCAGCAAGAGAATCCCAGTCTTTGGTCATGCTTGTCTATGTTATCCATGTCTCTAATGCCTGATGTTGTTGAGATTCCACACACACCAGGACACACAGATGTGGATAATTTTGGATGGGAGTGTGATGAGCATCAACAAGAGCCAGACAAATGGAAAACGCCAGCGTAACACATACTTTCCCCATTGTGCATCTGCAGACAGCTGTGGTAACACGGATGCACACACAGTTCCATTCATAGTACAACTGCATCAACTCCCAGTAGTACACAAGAGGGCCGGGAGATGAGCTTACCGTCCTCCTAATGCCAACATTGGGTGAAACAAAGAAGATGCTGCTGGGTGTGGAGTGAATGTGTAAGCATAGTGTGGTGTTTTGGACTGAACTGGAGTGTGTACAGTCTGTGCAGTCACAAAAGGTGGGATGCACATGGACTGCATTGGAGTACATGCAGATGCACATGGGCGAATGATCAGATTTACATTATGCACAGACATGCCGACACACGGATGCAGAACCTATGAATTTGCCTTTAGTGTGTATGGCTGGCCAAAACAGAGTTCTCAAACTAGTGAGTGTGACACGCTTTACAGCCCCACTGACATGCTAACAACTAATAACAACAATCACAATTTACTTTTGTACTTAAATCACCACAGCAAACAATATCTGTTCTACCCTGAATCTATTTCTTTGGTTTCAACCCTTAAAATATCTCCAGACAGTAAAGTTCCAGTGTCTAAGTTATATCAACAAGTCTGCATGGCATCTGCAGGTGCTTTCTTGGTCCCACTAGTGCTTCGTCACCATCGGCTCAGCATTTTTATAATGAAGCAGAACAGCTCTCTCCTTTGCTTGCTCCACAGTGACTCATATCACACAGTACTGTACACACACTACGCATAAATAGAGACCATTTCTGTAAACACAGAACATACAATAAGCTATATGCACTCACACTGGATAGCCATCACAGTCCCTTTATTGTTTCAAAATGTGCAACTGTTGCCGTGATTGATCCCAGGATGGGAGCATGTTGTGGGTGGAACTAGGTCTTCTTTCTGTTCATCCATGAGGGTAATTATTGTGTGACTGTTCAGTTCATACTGTTTGACAATTTCTTGTTCACTGATTAGAAATAGCATAATCCTTCAGCACATCTTTGAGCCCTACACCTGTTCCTCTGTCTTGCTGCAATTACTCCTGCCATTGTTTGGAAGAGTCGTCCCCACAAAAACACACCTTTTATGGAGCACCTCAAATTAGCAGCTGCTCTCTGGAGGCAGAGAAATTTAATGCACAAAATGAACCCTTGCAAATTGCAAATGCTTTAGGATATCTAGCCATGTGCCTTTTCATAAATAACGTGACTATTTTGGAACATTCTGCATCCAGTTCATTTGTGGCAATTTGCTCTCTGCATCTGCACCGAGTCATCAAAGCACAACTGTGTTCTACATGGATCTAATTCTTTTTTGTTATATTGTCTTTCTTTTTGTGTGTATGTGTTTGTTGAGCAGCCAAGGATCGCATGGTGTGTGACTCGATGTGTTCGGATGCAGGGTGTTGGGGTCCTGGCCCAGACCAGTGCCTGTCCTGCAGATACTTCAGCCGTGGACGTACCTGCGTGGATATTTGCAACCTTTATGAAGGGTGAGTTATGCTCGTGCATGCACACATACACTCCTGACTGGTAGATTGCTTAGTGTGTTGTCCTCAAAATGTTCTCAGGTCCTAATTATGTTTTAGGTTTGCCCACATTGTAAAGAAATTTTACACCTCCTCATCTAACCACGTCTACACATGTCTTCATCTTTTTTCTACTTGATGCTCAAAAAATAAAAACAAACTACTAAATCACTTCAACCCAGTCACCAGAATAAATGTTGGCATTGTTAAAACTTTACACTTAAATAGTGTGGTTAACATGTTGTTATGTTACGGCACAAAACCACTTGGTTATAGTAGGGAAAAAGATCACGTTTTGGTTTGAAGTACCTGGGTTTGATGGCACAATCACGACTGGAAATGCCATCAAAACAACTGTTTTGTTTGTTGATTGTTGTGCTGTCTCTAGGTTGTGATTTAATTTTAATTTCTGCAATTTTTCAAACTGACTTACTCAACCAAAAGTTTTTCAAAAACAAAAGTTAAAATACTGAGTAATTTCTATACTATGGCTAACCTAGTAAGCAAAGTAGCAAAGCAGAAAAATAAAAAAAAATTGGAGAAAACGATCGCCTTCTCTTTTCAAGAAGAACAAAATGGGTGAGGACGCCACGTATGACACATTTCAAAGCCAAACTGCCTACCACCCTGTTTATTCCCACAAGCTGTAACTCAATTCAGGGGCTGCAGTCTTTGAAGGATGTGGCGGACATCAACTGCAAAGGCCACGTCCTTCAAAGACTGCATCAGCCAAACCGAAACGGTCTTTGAGGCGGGATAGTTTGGTCTGCAAAGGATTTCCTGGGTGCATCACCAGTTGTTCTCGCCCCGACCCATTGGCTGTTACCTAGCAGCAGCTGCACTTGATGAAAGAAGGAGTAAGCTAGTAAGTTAGTAAGCCCTAAATCATGGACCCAGAGATTGATGTTTTATATATGTTTGTTAAATGTCATACTTGAGGACATGATTCACCGCCGTAGACACCGCCATTTGTTATGTTTCAGGCTGATGTAGGACGGTTGCCAGGTAGATGTATTAGATTAAGATTGTTTAAGCTGTGTGTTTTTAGCTAATAGTAATGTTTACAACAGTTAAGCAGTAGCCAGTTAACAACTGTTAGTTCACTTAACTTAATATATACTCGTCCATATCCATTGGTAGCTTTGTCACCTTCTACCTATGCCAGTCCTCAATGCCTATGTGCAGTTTCACATAGATTGACAACGTCAGTGAGTAGAAAAACGTGGGACAGACAGAATGTCTGACTGACAAAATGACACACTGACAGTTTCTGTGATTATGTACAGCATACCATACCATGACTTAGTCATACCAAAAATTAGAAAAACAAAAACAAAAAACATTTGGCCACAGGGGGAGCCACAGCGATCGGTCACATTTTGGCCATTTTTAAGCATTTTCTGTTGTTATAGCGCCACCCAGTTGCCAAACATGTACTGTTAGTCAAGAAGAGGTTTAGCATTCCGCTCTCTTGTCTTTTATGAAAATCAAACATCGTATGCCAATCACTTAATTATGAAATTTAAAATAATTTTGAACTTCATATAGTGGCTTTTCAAAACCTGATAAAGTGTTTTGCAATGTATACTTTAAATGTAAATTCTAGTGATGCACCAAAATGAAAATTTGTGGCCGAAGCCGAATAATATTAAACGCTTGGCCGAATACCGAGTACCGAATACCAAATATTGTTGTTTAGTTTTTCATTAGTTTTTGCAGATGAACCCCCTCCAGATTAGTGTCGTCATGGTACCAATATTGGGACCCACGGTACGATACCAGTGAAAATATCATGGTTCTGAGTAGTATCAGGATACCACAGCGAAAATGAGGCAGATGTGCCTTTTGTCATTTATAAAAAGATAAATCACTTTTCTATAATACATCAGTGATATTTCAATGGAATAAATTACTTATTGACTTATTCAAACTTCAAAAACAGCATCAATCAGTGATGAACATAGGGGGGATCAAAATAAAATAAAATGAATAAATAAAATAAGAATCAACCAGTCACCCTCCTCCCCTGACAAGTCCCTTCATAAGTAAAGAACAGTCCCTAAAGTGCAGTGAGGTTTGTGGGTCGTGAACGGCTTGTTTCTCCTCTGACACATCACATACCTGTGTTCGGCTGGCTCGGCTGTTCAGGTACTTCTGGGCAGTCACGACGCCAAGAAGAGGATATTATTGGAGCCGACTTCTCCGTCGCTGGTAAGCCGATGGCCGCCGTATTTGATAGGAATGCATTACTGTCTGTGTCTGTGACCCCCGTTCAACCCACAACCGGTGGGATTCGCCTTTCGTTTCTGCTGCTGGTTGAAAATTGTAGGCTGCTCGCACAGCGTGCTGAATGATTTAAGCCTATTTTGCTCGCTCAAAACTATTTTTAGTCGCAAATGCAAGTGTCATGATGGGCGGATCGCCACACTGCTGACATTTTACTCCGCCCGTCACAGCACACTGTTTGATTGCGTTATCAAAACATGCTGCTATTATTCGGCCTTGCTTTTAACTTATTCCACTGAATACCGAATGTGTGTTTTTTTGCAATATTCGGCCGAATATATTCGGTTACCGAATATTCGGTGCATCCCTAGTAAATTCGCCAGATTAAATTAATTTTCATCCTAATTATTATATTTCAATGCATCAGTCATTGCTGGTGTTAATCAGTGTCCTCTGGTAGTGACGACAGAATACACAGTACTTTTACTAACCCAAAGGGAACAATGGAATGATCTTCTGATAGAGCTGCAGTTTAAGCCCCTCTAAGTCTTTAATAAATACAGTGGCATGCAAAAGTTTGGGCACCCCTGGCCAAAATTTTGTTTGCTGTGAATAGTTAAGTAAGTAGAAGATGAACTGATCTCCAAAAGGCATGAAGTCAATGAAACATGCTCTTAAGCAGGATCAGTGTATTATTTTTGTTATGTACAATTTTAGAGTGGACAAAAAAGGGGAGGCACACCATGCAAAAGCTTGGGCACCTCAAGACATTTGAGCTCTCACACAACTTTTAACAGAGTCTCAGACCTTAATTAGCTTGTTAGCGCTCTGGCTTGTTCCCAGTCATCGTTAGGAAAGGCCAGATGATGCAAATTCCAAAGTTTTATAAATATTCTGACTCCTGGAACCTTGTACCGTCAATCAGCAGCCATGGGCTCCACTAAACAGCTGCCTAGCACTCTGAAAACTAAAATAATTGATGCCCACAAAGAAAGAAGACAGCATTTTCAGATAGCTGTTACCCTTATTTGTAATGTAATTAAGAAATGGCAGCTGAGAGGAACTGCTGAGGTCAGGTTGAGGTCTGGAAGACTAAAAAAAATGCTAGAAAGGTAAATCAAAACCCCCGTTTGACTGCAAAAGACCTGCAGAAAGATTTATCAGAGTCTGGAGTGGTGGTGCACTGTTACACTGTGCAGTGACACCTGTACAAATATGACCTTCATGGAAGAGTCATCAGAAGAAAACCTTTCCTGCGTCCTCACCACAAAATTTAGCATAAGAAGTTTGCAAAAGAACATCTGAACAAGGCTGATGCTATTTGGAAACAAGTCCTGTGGACTGATGACATTACAATAGACCATTTTGGACACAACGAGCCAAAAGTGTTCTGAGGAAAAAGGGTAAAGAATTTCGTAATAAAGAAACCTGTCCAGCTTTAAAACACAGGGGGTTGATTGTTCGTGCTTTGGGCTTGTGTTGCAGCTAGTGACATGGGGAACATTTCAGGGGTAGAAGAAAGAATGGATTCAGTTAAATTCCAGCAAATTGTGGAAACAAACATCACACCATCTGTAGACAAGCTGAAGATGAAGAGAGGATGACTTCTACAACAAGACAATGATCCCAAACACATCTAGAAATCCACAATGGACTACCTCAAGAGGCACAAACTGTAGGTTTTGTCATGGCCCATCATTTAAAATCTGTGGATAGAACTAAAAAGAGCAGTGCATGGAAGAAGGCCCAATAATCTCACAGAGCTAGAACCCTTTTGCGGGAAGAATGGGTGAAAACCCCCAAACAAGAACTGAAAGACTCTTAGCTGGTTACAAAAGGCATTAAGAAGCTGTGATACCTGCCCAAAGGGGACACTACTAAGTACTGACCATGCAGGGTGCCCAAACCTTTCCTTCAGGCCCTTTTCATTATTTGCATTTTTTGCTTCGAAATTGTGAAAGATTGAAATTAAAAAGTAATCTAAGATATTGAAGGAATGTGTCATCTTTAACTTGATGCCTTTTGGTAATCACATCATCTTCTTCTTTCTTAACTTCTCACAGTAAACAAAAATTTGACTAGGTGCCCAAAATCTTGCATGCCACTGATTATCTGAAAATAACTTCATGCTAAAGTTCATGCTGCAAATATTATTTAACAATTTAATTTAATTTTATATTACTGATTTTTACTTTTAAATACTAAAGATAAAAGTAAACATTACTTTAATACTTCCTCAAATATAATATTTTTGAAAGCTGTATGAGTACAAATGATCAAAAAAACATATATCAAAAATAATGAGCACTATATACAGTAGTTTGTGCCAGTTGCTCTACAGTACAGGGGTCCTGATGGAAAATGCTTGGTCCTTATTAGACATAGGACTCTGATGCCTGCAGTCCTCAGAATTTGGTTTGTAAATTCACTTATGTAACTGTGCTTTTCAAGTAATCCCGATCATCATGCTTTCATATAATTTGCAGGTACAGGGAGGATCAAACTGATTGTTACATCAAGAATTTGACAGAAGCCCTGTAGGAATGAAGCAGCAGTAATAAAATATGTTCCTCTTCAAATGAAGGGCAAATATAGAAACATTATCAACTCATCCTATTCAGCTTTGAATAGGAGTGGTAGAATTTTGAAATAATCCTCAATAGTTGGAAGAGCTGCTGCACAACCTGCTCATCAAAACTTAAATTTCAGTTCAAGAACACCCCAAGGCTCTTTGGTACAGCTTTCAAGTTCTGCAGTGATTTTTCTGTTTACTATGGATAATATTTAAGAGCCTAGGGGTGAAAAGAACAATTAAAGACGTGGTGGTAACTCTCGGTTTAAAAGGCACCCCTGCAGAGATTCATAACAATAGGGGGCCCTTGACTTTAAAAGGAAGTATAGCTTGATGCTATCCTATCCTCACAATAGACGGTGACAAGACCCGCTCCCCTGGTGAGTTTTATTAATAACATTTCAGATTTTTTTTTTTTACTTTGTAGAACTGCTGAAAAGATGCTTTTAAGTTCAGAGTCCTGATCTGATCAAAAAATGTTTGCTGGCCACATTGGAGAGGAATGAGGAGGACCAGAGGATGCTGTTAGGGCAGGGGGGCTAGGCGTGTCACTGCGTGTCACAGTCACTGCTTGCGCACGGGGCCACGCCCTGCCTACCTGTCCACCTGCACGTCAGCACCACCCACACCGTCAGCGTTACCAGCACATCATCTACAAAATAGAGCTTCACTGAATGCAACCTCAACCCTTTACCCTCTGAGCATTGCCACAGTGTTTGTCTCATGAGTCACACTTTAGATATGTCATATTTCATTATTGTTTGTTTCTTTATTTGGTGTCTGCTCAGCATTTATCCGTTTAATCAAATCTTCAAGTTGCCCACTTGTTACAAGTGTTTGTTACACCACCTTTATTCCTAAGTGGTTTGGTTCAGCAGTAGATGTGCAATAAATCTACCTTAACAAGAATAGCATGTGAGTGTGCAGCTGCGCCCAATCAGGATGTTATCAGTCCATAAATGGCCGATTGCATATCCAATGTTGTGAAATGGTTGTTTCTTTAGGCCTCACCTACACTTTTGTTTGGTTTAGGTGCAAAAGCTTTGTGGTTGGGTTGAGGAAAAGTTCAAGCAAACATCACTGCTTAAAATGAGTCAACATCAACTTTTGGTTTCACATGGACATGAACCCCACTGTCCTGGGTTAAAGTCCTGTGTTTGTTTGACCCAAACAACACCCGTGTCTCCTACTTACTGCAGACTTTATTGCTCTTTATACTACGTCACCGTATTTTCTTCTTTGCTTTAGTCATACTTTTAAGTCGCCAACTCAGTATATCTTTCTCTTTCTAGCCCATATCTATGACATTTATAACCACTGATAACAGCCATTTAAAGGCCTGATAACAGCTGAACCGGCTGGCAGAACTTACTTATACCAGGCGTGCATGACAAAACTTGGAGGACAGAGGTACTGTATCTATGTTTAAAATGTAACTAAAGTTTCACTTTGTGTGGATTTAGCCTCACATAGCTCTTTTATACATCACGTTCAGACAGCATCAAAATGACAAGGATTCCAATGATTTGTTAATGATTGCTGAAAGTGTTTACAAAATGAAAACAATTTGTACGTTATTGTTCAAAATGCCAGTTTATGTGTTTGAGCAAACAGATTTTGCAGCATGGTTATTTCAAAAGCCATTTGAAATGAACATTTATTTTGCATAAAATCCATGTAAAGGCGTATTATTGCCAATGCATTGCTGTATCCTTGTCCCTTAACAGAGAGAAAATATAGAAAAGCAGAACACAGCAGAACATCATGGCCTATAAGACTTAAGCGTCAGTGATATCTTTAAGCTACACTGCAGCCTTTATTATTTCAACCGGCACACACCCAGACAAAAGCTTACCTCCCCTGCCTCCTGGAAGGTTTTATGAAGGCCAGATGAAGCATAATTAATACTAATTTGATTTAGATCCCACTGAGCCTACAACACTTTTTTTTCTATTGCTGAGTTGGAACATTCTGTTTTCCCTCACTGACCAAAAGAGAAGTACCTAAAAGTCATTCTCCTTGTCCTGTGGTGACAAAGGCAAAGCGCCAACTCAGCCGCGCTGTGGTCAAATTTAATGACTTTTTGAGGCCACTCTGGTGTTCTACTATTATAAAGGGATTTCAGAAATTGAATAACAAGGCACTTAATTTAATTGATTTTTGAAAATGTTGCACCCCTCTCAGGTACTGCACCTTTCAACTGCGGCGACCCCCAGCGTGATGGTATCACTATTACAGTTAGCTAATTAGCTGCTATGCTTGTGGGTGTAACAGGCATGTGTGTGTGTGTGTGTGTGTGTGTGTGTGTAAGACTGCCTATTGATGTTGTGACTACATCCACTGACCTTTAGTTCCAAAGTAAGCAATGAAAGAAATAGGGATGCACCGACTATTCGGTAACCGAATATATTCGGCCAGATATTGCAAAAAAACACACATTTGGCATTCAGTGGAATAAGTGAAAAGCAAGGCCTAATAATAGCAGCGTGTTTTGATAACGCAATCAAACAGCGTGTGGTGACGGATGGAGTAAAATATTGGCAGTGTGGCAATATTTTACTTGGTCTGTCACTGCACTCGCATTTGCGACTTAAAAATAGTTTTGTGCGGGCAAAATAAATCATTCAGCAATTTTGGTACCGTGACAACACTAATCTCACTGAACTAAAAAATGGCATTCGGTACTCGGTATTCGGCCAAGCATTTAATATTATTCGGCTTCGGCCACAAATTTTCATTTCGGTGCATCCCTAGTAAGAAATGATGCCCATACATACACCTGAAACAGACAAATCTATTCACTACTAACAATCCTTCTATCTCTTTCAAACCCTCCATCTGTCTTCTTTGCTCTGGAAATTGCATCATGAACCTTATTCAGACATTATTGATCAAAATGGATCATTTAAAAAAAAAAATACATATTGTCATTGGGATTAAGATTCAGCAGGAATCCAACAGATCACTGCCATTGACTTATACATAATGTACATGTCCTTTCACTATTTTAAGTTCTTTGTTTTTTATGTCAGTGCTGCATTACACTGTGTTTCTTGTCACCTGACACATAAAAATAAATAATAGAAGTTTCCAACAGGAAATAATGCCACAAATGTATGTTGCTCAAACAATTTCAATTTCTTTTTATGGGGACAATAATTGATATTAAAGTGGAAATAGACTTTTTTCCTTTCCTTTAACTTCCCTTATGAAGCAAATGGTGAGCTTTGCTTTCACTATGCAGTTCAGTCTACCACACGCTATTATGGATCCCACTACTTCTCTTGGCAAGTCCTGCACAACTGAGCTGTAATTGACTAGCACTAGTCCTAACCGTTACCTCATTGCCCTAAACCTAAGTGCCTCTGACCTCGACGTGTCACCGTGATGAGTACCAGCCAATCGCAGCACAATAGGGCAGAGGTTGTCAAGAAAAGCAGCGGGATTCATAATACCTGTGGTAGACAGAATTGCAGCTCAAAGTGCGTCAACCATTGTGCAACCAGAGCATGGAGACAATAGCTCTGTGCTTTTCCCCAGAAGCACTAGCTTTCCCCATTTACCAAAGATTATCAATGTAAGTTATTTGAGGTTACCATCCCCAGTGGTGGAAATGATGGACAATGAAACAACTGAAGTAAATGTGAAAACTCTACTGGGCTAAAGAAAAAGAACTCCGTTTCTAGGCTCTGAGAAAAATGGAAAGCAATCTAGTTGTCTTTGCAACAGCAGCACTGACAATAATACCACTTGAAATAACTTGGGGGTGAAAAGTTGGAAAAGCTATCTGTTTCCACTTAAAGTGTTTGATGTCTGAAATTTTGTGCTTTGATAAAACTATATAAACATGAAAAAAAAAACTGGGAAAAGGTGTTGTCACTAACATCATGAAAAACTATAAAGATAAGTAATCTTAATGACTTCTTTTAATAGTATAGAGGTGTATTTATCAATTGATCAAATAGAAAGGAGGTGATTGAAGTTTCACTGCAAAGCTTTTATCTGCCTTCATATCTACAAGTTAACCAAAGACACATTATTTAAAGGGCTATGACAGATGAATGTAGGTAAACGTGTCTGCTTATATATTTTCTAATTCTCAAATAATGTTTTGCCCCCTTCTTGTTTCTCACCTCTTTATCACTCTCTGTTCCTCATCCATCCCTATCCCTCCCTCCATCCCTTTCCTCCTCCTCCTCCTCTTCCTCCTCCTCATCTCTCAGGGATATCCGAGAATATGCAAACGGGTCAGTGTGTGTGGAGTGCGATGCCCAGTGTGAGCGAGCTGACGATGACTCTTTGACCTGCAACGGTGCGGTAAGCCTGCTCCTATAGACCGCAATAGTGGGACAGACACTGAAGCACTCACTTATCTCACATATATCAGCCTAATGCAGATGGGAAGCGGGCTGCTGTTTGTGAGCAGTTTGTTTATGTTTGCTTTTATCTATTCATTAAAGAGGAATAGCGTTCAAGATAAACAAAAATGGTTGCGTTATTCTATCATCGAAAGATGAAGTGCAGTCTCATCAATCTTAAAGGGACAGTAATACATATTTTTCCTCTTACCTGTAGTGCTGTTTATCAGTTTAGATTATTTTGATGTGAGTTGTCAAGTGTTGGAGATATCGGCCGTAGAGATGTCTGCCTTCTCTTGAATATACTCAAACGAGATGACACTCCAAAAAATTACATTTGAAAGACTCAACAGCAATGTCTCTTTCCAGAAATCATGACCCACTTACTCAAGATAATTCAAAGATGTTGTTGTGAGCAGTTTCATTGTGGAACTATTTTCTCTCTACCAAAGTAGGCCCGCCCACCGTATCACTGCACAGAAGGAAACGTGCATCTACTCATAGATAAGCAGCTTGTGCTCGCAATAGCCTGAAATATGAACATTAATGGCATCCTTCTTGGCTGAGCTGTAATGTTAACAAGTTCAGTAAAAGGCTCGAAATACTCTTTCCTTCAGTGGGGTGGACTGCAGAAGACCAGTGCGATGATGGGGTTCGCAGGTGGAGTTTGGTAGAAAGGAAATAGTACCTACATGAAACTGCTCACAACAATTCCTATGAATTGTCTTGAGTAACCGGGTCATGATTTCTGATAGGACACATTGCTACTGAGAGTTTGAAAGACTGTCTTGTTCCATTATATTTGAGAGAGGGCAAATATCTCTAGGCAAGAGGGAAAATATGCAGTTTTGATTTTGGGGTAAACTGTCCCCTTTAAAGCTATAAGCCATAGAGCAGGCATGTCCAAAGTCTGGCCCGGGGGCCAATTGTGGCCCACAGACCAATTTTAATCGGCCCTTGGCTTGACTTTCAAAATATACCATATGTGGTCCTTTACACAGTAATGGTTAATTGAGCAAGATCACTTGGCATTTTTAAACTTCACCTCATAAGACTATTATTCACTACATTGTAGACAGGCATCAAGTAGTAAGAGTTCATTAAAAGATAAAAATGGTTGCATTTATCTCACTTTTCTTTAAAAAAAGAGAAAAAACTTTTAATGCAAGACTCAGTTGGCCCCCAGGTGTTTTCACGTTGTTTTATCTGGCCCCCATTCAAAAAAGTTTGGACACCCCTGCCAGAGCCAATGCTAATCTGGGATATAAAACTGCCTTCTTAAATTCATACAAGGTAACTAGTAATAAAAAAATTATATTTTATGAAGGATTGATATGGTTCATGATATCATGTATTTTTCCTATCGTCAACAAATTCCATTAAAAGACAAAAACCTGCAATGAATTGAACTTAAAGCAAAATCAGCTGTAGGCTGAAATTGTTGTTTTCAGTGTTGAGCGCCCCAAAGAAAAGTATTCAAGGCCAGAGCATTGCTTCACTCACCACAAACCAAATGACTTGGAGCTGCAGACATTCCCCGTGGTCATCTCAGACTATGATTAATTATTGTATTAGCAGTCAAAGTGTGCCTTTCAGCCGTGCTATTGATTATGTCTCATGTTCCGAGTCAAAGGTAAAAGTGATTGTTTTAGCAAAGATCAGCATTATTAGGGCTTGTATTTGGTACGTGGCAGCTTGTGGGTTTTCATGCCTCTATATATTTTTTCATGTTAACCATCAAAAATGTATTCAGGGACATTCTTTTTTTAAATTCTTTTTATCTTAAGAAAAAGTAGTTGGTGTTTTATTTTTTCCCCCAAAAGTAATTCTTTACTCTTAACAAACTTTTGCATTGCACCAGCTCCAGCATTGACTCTCTCTGAAAAATAGCCAGTAGCAGCTGTACATTAGAAAAATGCCAGAGTGAAAAAAAAAGAAAATCCCTGACCTTCATTTCTGTCTGCCTCTCCTGCACACTACACCCACAGCCACATGAAGCCCCTGACCCTGCGCTTTCTCTTAAAATCTTATCTCGCTGTTTGATAGAGAGGGATGATTTGCGACAGATGCAAGCCAGAGGGGCAGTGTGCTGTCTTTTGTGTCCCATCACACTCTGTCACATAGTTTGTCCAATATAGTTTAGAGGTAGATTTTTTTTCAGAGCTACTGGAGTGTTGGTGTGTGAGTATACAAACACGGGAAGCAAAGGCCAAGTGGTTGATGGCTTGAGTAGAGCGTGTTTGTTGTTGTTGGTCTGATTATCCTGGCTGGTCGCTTGAAACCTCATAACCCTGCACTTGGCGTCTTCGACAAGTGATGGGAAGGTGGGTGTTATGAAAAGAAACCATACAGATACTTGTAGCTTACTTCCAGCTGTTTGAGAAAAAAACATAATGAAAAACTTACAGCAGTCGAAATGATTTTTTTTAATTATTTTTTTTAGCTGTGTAGCTATTAAAGTATTAATAAGAGCAAATGCAAAATAGGTAAAGGTTATATTCACATTGGTGTTGAACTTTTTCAGTCCATATCGAAGATTTTCATTAGTTGAAAAGTATTTTATAAAAGGTTAGATACTATATAACTTTATACACGACCTTCAGCAGCTGTTTCAGTATGTCCTTTTTTGCACTTTGTAATTTCCATTTACAAGTACTGTACAGTCTCATGCAGTCTCTCACCCTGTGAGTGTGTTTGTGCATGTGTGTGTGTGTGTGAGTGACTTCAGTCAAGCTGTGTATAATGGAAATGTCCCAGGGTAACCTGTTGCACCACAAATGGATTACAGCAATCATGTTATGGCCACAGAGCCCGTAGCAATTACATTACAGCTTACACACAGTGATTTGATAGGCCTAATGCCCTCTGCGGAGAGAGATTGGAGATACAAATATAGCCATGAATAAAGGCTATGTTACGGACAGAATAGGTGATAATGGCAGATCCACTGTAGAGAAGTTGCTGTTGTTGATCAGCGTTACTGTTCGTCATTCCATCTCAAACGAGCACATCTATTACTGTGTCTTTACTGAAAGATTAGAGTGTGATTACATTTCACAGCAGGAACCAAAGACTTCAGCTAAACTCATCTCAAAATCCCATTGAATAACTTCTTCAAAAGATGAGATTCCTGTGTAAGACATAACTGCAAAATGTTAACTTTGAGTTAGAAGCATTGCAGGCTGTGACCAAGTGGCTAACTCTGGGGCAGAAAACAAAGCCAACACCAATGTCAGAAACTGCAGTTCTTTGAATGGCCACTTGAGGCTGGCTCCAAGAACGAGTCAATCTCAATAGACCCCCACTAGTCTGGTCAATCTGTGGTTTGACCCAAAAAGTGCAATAGTAATCAATCAAGGTTTTATGTGATCCATCAGGACATTGAAAGAACATATTAAAGGTATACCATTATATACGAAGTGCAGCAAGGTAAATTTAGACGACGCATTAAAAGGTCCAGGGGAGTCATGGTGGTGTGGTGGTTAGCACTGTCTGTCACAGCAAGAGGGTTCCTGGTTTGATCCCGGGTGCGGGAGCCCTTCTGTATTTGCATGTTCTCCATGTGTCAGCATGGATTTTCTCTGGGTACTCCCACAGTCCAAAGACATGCAGGTTAATTGGTGACTCTCTCCGTAGGTGTGAATGTGAGCGTGAATGGTTGTCTGTCTCTACTGTATGTGTCAGCCTGGCGACCTGTCCAGGGTGTACCCTGCCTCTCGCCCAATGTCAGCTGGGATAGGCTCCAGCCCCCCTGCGACCCTCAAGAGGATAAGCGCTTAGAAAATGGATGGATGGATGGATGGATGGATCAAAAGTCGTCCAACTTTACAGCAGAAATACAACTAATATACAACTAATTATAACTCACCTTCTTAATGTTAATTAGGCTTAAAGTTATGCATAACAAAGGCGTAGGCAATGTGGGTAGGCTACAGTGTAGGCTTCGCTTTTTTTTTTTTTCTTTTTTATAAATCCAGCTTAAGGGGTCATATTTTTAGTTTTCCCTGTAAGTATTTTGTTTTAACAGTTTACGGTCTGTTTTTTTTGCTAGCCAAAATTAGCTTTAGCATAGGTATTATCAATGTTAACCATAGCTGTGAATGCACTGTGCTAACCGAGTTAGCAGCTAGCTATCTTCACCCTCTCGTCCTAATGCTGTCACTTCTGGCTCTAAAAAAGGCAAAGGCAATGGACAAAATGCAGAACTCAAGGCTTTAAAGTGGGAGTCCACAAAGTAATGGGGGCAGTGACTACATCCATTATTTTATAGTCCATGACTATGGCGTCTTTTTAAATGACTGCGTGTTCACCAGTAGATATCTTCTTGTCTTAAATCTCTTACTTAGGTGAAGGACAGGGCATATTCTCTCCTGCCGTCCCTCTCCTTTGTTCCCCATTTCTTTCGTCTCAAATATGTTTCTTTTAACACTGCAAAAATTTGCAAAGCTGTTCCATTATGAATTGTATAAAAATCCACTTGTTTATGTAGAATTTTGATTCTGCTGTCTGTAAAGTCCTCCTGTGTTCTTCAAACTTTGCAAACACATTGTAGCTGGCACACACTCTTGCATGCAGTCACGAGTTCTGAGGCACAGACTGTTCACTTTGATAGTGAAACATATGATTTCTAAAAAGAGGATACATTTGAATCTGCTGGAGGTGCTTTATACCTTTTATGACCACTGAATTGAATTGGCTGCTGTCATATTCACAGGAGCTGCCACATATATCTCTTTCTTATTTGTCCCACTCTTTCCCTTAGACCTCCTCTCTCCTCTCCTCTTTTTATCTCTCCACCTCATCATTAATGCTTAAAATTATTTTGTGGTCGGCCTATCGTGTGGGAGTATATTTAAAGACTCCAGCAGATATACAGCAGAGCATGATGACTTGGTCTGTGCTTTATATCATGGTAAATTATCTTGTAAATCCTTCCTGATGTACCTGATCATGCCTAGG